ATGCTGAGCGCGAAACGTGTGAACAACACCGGCTTCCTCAACTTGACGGCAGTCGCTTCTGCTAGCAGACGCTGAGTCATTGTCTTGGAGTAGTTCGGTACGCAGGTATATTGTTGTTTATGCTCCTCGCCTTCTCTCCGCCATACAGGAGGGTGTTGTCTGTTTTGGCGCCAACTCGTGTGACCAATATAATCTGCTCCATAGAAGCAAGTAAACAAGAAAATGCACATGGAAGTGGTCTGAGCATGCAAATTCTCCTTGCCTTCTACGTGAGAGACTGGTTTGGTCGAGAATAACATGCGAATTTTCGTTGCTGGAAGGTTGGTGAAACCGTTCGGCAAAGCGTCTACTCAGAAGTTCACTTGCTGCATCCCCTTTAAATGGGACTTTGAGGAACAGAGTTTGCTTTTCTGCAGCAAGTATGGTGGACTGAAATGGTCTAACGACAATAGTTTTGTTATGAACCTATCAGGATATCCATTTCTAACTTTTTCTAGGCTCCTCTTCCGAACAAATATTTCTAGCTCTTTGTGCCAAGCAACGAACTATATTGCTTTTCTGTTGGATAGGCACGAAACTGCTGAAGTTCGTATATTGTCCAAACCAGTTTTGTCGATAGGCTCTCATTCGGACGCTACCGCTAAATCTTATGCATACACGGGAGCGAATCGTTTTCTATAAATTGCATATTCGTCTGACTATGTGCTAGGATACCAGTTTCGAAAGTGTACACACTAAAATTTACTTCATTCCCCAAAACTAGACTGTTTTATAAGTCTAGTTTTTTGTCAAATAGTTAGTGAATATGTCTAGTTTCGAATGGTGATTTGTATGTACCACAGTGTTTGTAAACTGTAAAAGAGAAGTTCATCTTAAAATCGTTTGATTGTAGACATTTTAAAATGAATGAAAGTTCTGTTGCAAACTGTATTTTTTAACCTACGTGCGTAGCGTGCATTTTTGCATTGATCTGCACAAAAAATATTCTTTCTTGTACTCATTCGGTAGAACGGTACGTTTTCTTCAAGGAGAGGGTATACTTCGGTATTGGAAACGGTTTTTCCTTTCCTGAATAAATTTGAACCTGATATGCCGCTTGCTTTTTACCCCGGTTGCACAATTGTTGGGAATGCTTCCATCTCAAAGCAGGGCCCCTGAGCGCAGCTGCCCCGTCGCTGCCATGAGAGCGCGCACCGTGGCTATCGATTTCCCGTCATATCTGATTGGTCCATTGTCGCCGACGCTTCCTCTTTAAGTGGACTGAATGAATACACGCAGCCTGTTTGTGAGAGTGCCCCACTCCTCGTGGTCGATTGTCTGCTCTTTTGATACAAAAAATGCAAAAATCGCTGGCCTTGAAAAAACCCTTCTTAAACTGGTTATCAAACACGTTTCATCTAAAAACACATCAACACCTTTTCAGAGCGACACCATCTGTAGCACCATCAAGCGATGGATACGGTGCACCATAGAAAAGATAAACGATACACCGAACCTTTATTTGCCAGTCCTGCCACAGTTATTTCAATTAACCGGGCAAAGGATGCCTTGCGGTTACAGGCCATCCAATACTGCATTTAAGATGCCATTACAAGCAAACATGCAAGTCCCAGGAAGTAATTGAGAAGTAGAAGACAACTCGATAGCTGAAACACTATGTTTATTTGCCTGACGTTTCGACATCCGTCGCGGATTCATCTTCAGATACATACTCACAGAACAGTAGCAGAAACTCGGAACTCTGTGCACACACAGACTGTTTCTGCTACTGTCCTGTGAGTATGTCTCTGATGATAAATCCGCGACGGATATCAAAACGTCAGGCAAATAAACATAGTGTCCAAGCGATCGAGCTGTCTTCTACTTCGCAACTGCATTTAAGAATTCACATGCACTTGCGGATGGCAGTTGGTAGCCAGAGCGGTCGAACATTTGCCTAAATGCCTTTTAACGGGGAAAATGGAATAACCCATTCTGTGATTCCGAAACATCGACCAGATAGCGGTTTCTCTATTGACTCCAAAACAGCCTTCTGAGCACTTGTTGCAGCAAGAATAACTCGGGCCTTTCTTTACCTGAAAGCAACCATCATACGCCGGAAAAACTCAGCATATGTAAACAGCTGGACCGCGTGGTCAGCCTCAACTTACCCTGGTAATTTTAAGGCCTTAAGTCTGTAGTGATCCCATTTCGCGTGCAACGTTCAACATCTCACGGCTGCTTGCACGTGTTTACCAGTGTCTGCTGACCCCACTCCGTTCTGACCAATCAGCTTCCTGTGGCTGACTTACACAAAAACT